CAAGCAGAGAGGTGGACAGGAGTAAAAGGGAAAAAGCAATGGATTAGGCAGGTTGAAATACGAAAGATGCAATAACAGGATGAAACGGACAGATAGCCATCTCGGCAGATTCGAAATTAGTAGAGTTCTAAATCCGAGATGAGGAAAGAAAAGGGATAAATTAAGTCATACTATTCGCTTTCGTGTATCGTTGCCTCATTGCCGAAAAAATCTGGTCACAAACTAACGACACTAGACTCACCCAAAATCGTTTCGCATAAAAATATTGCCGGTTCGTGAAAGGATAAAGTGGAACAGTTGGTTCCAGAGCTAGCAGCGTTGTTAACAGAATTCGTGGATGAAACTTAAAATACTGTCACGTAACAGGGAGAACTGCTTGAAAGCGTACCACGTTCTCAACAAGGTTTCCTCTTTTCCGGATAGGAGGGTACGAACTAAGTGAGCGATCTAGTGCGAATGGTTTCTTCATAATGAATGGGACAAAATACATGTGATTCGATTTGGATAAGACCACTGAAGCAACCACGAGCAGGACTTTGTGAGAAAATGGACTGTAGGATGTATCTGTAGAATCGGAAGACATCGTGGAAACAGCCACTTGATGCATCACGTTGTACAATGACGAATGAAAAGTACAAACTTACTTCGGAAATATCTCCTTTATTTTCTCAACATGTGGAATATGTTGGATTGGAGGGCTGTGAAAAGAACCGAGAAATATGGCTGATCAAAAACACTGACAACGGGCGAGGAAAAAGAGTGAGCCATGTGAAACGCTAATCCGACTTCAAGTGTGTTTCAATATTCTGTTGTACATAAATGAAATGTGCGTTTACGTGGGGGGGGGGGTAGACAACGCCATTTTGCAGTTATCGTGTGGGACAAGTAATTTATACAAATGATAACATCAGACAGAATGCTCAAGATTTCCCAGGCAAGTGCAATCAAGCGAATGAAACCAATCTCGCGACAACAGATTTTGCCCTAGTGACCCTTTGCCTAACCGCCTTCTGTCGTCTTGTAATCCATTCAGAAACCCTATATAACCTTGTATTTGTTTGCGGTAGACACCAGTTGAGATCCAGTAAAATGGTCCCGGACATATATCGCACAATATTATTATATTGGCTTCTTTTTCAAATATCTGTTTGCTCTATAACCGCTGCAATATTTTCATGAAATTCCTGGGCTAAGGTCAATAACACCAGCACCATATATATCAGCCTATATTTCAGTAGATCTATTTCAATAGACCTGATAACCATGGACTGGACAGATAAACGCTCAGATCCAAATAGCTCTCTATTCCCGTCCCAACCACGAGAAGTTGTAACAAAAGTAAACAGTCAGAGATAAACATCGTTCACTTTTTAATATCTGGGCTGTACGCTTTACCAATGAAATGCGTTTATGATTCCCAACAGAATAAAATAGAAATGATGTACGACATTGAAAAACTCCAAATGAACTACCAAAAGACATGCCGCACTCTTGTTATCTGAGATCACGGTTGGCGTGATGCAAACCCACGGGAAGGGAGGGGAGGGCGATAGACAAAACAGAAAAACAACGTGTAGCCGGAAAACCCAAACAACACAGAACTTACTCGTGATGAAGGATATCAGCAAATGCCTGTCCCGCGACACCTCGAGTGCGATCAATCTTTTCCACAGCTTGCTGAGCGATGGAGACTACGATTTCCTCAACTCTGAGTAATGAGAAATAAACAGAGAATATTATTGTAATTAAGATGAAACAGATTGGAAATGCAGGAATATATTAATGCATTCATAGTTTGTTGTCCAAAAGCATGCAGACTGGATAGGATCAGAAAGAACTGACATTTCATTTATGCAATCATCAGCAGTATTGTACAGCGCAATACAGTGAAGCGAACTTCACTGATCGCTGTCAAACTCATATTGCATACAAGTTAAGTGAGAATGGGTAACGAGGATAGGGAATAGACTTAATTCCAGGGACGGGAAAAGAAAGCGAACCTCTGTGGTCAACACACAGAGTACAGAGTCCAATTGAGCATACATACTATTTCAAGCATTCCGGTCTGATAAGAAGTGACAGCATGATCGTCATTGCTGTCCGTTCGCAACCATGACCTTCAGTGTCTCCAACGATGCGGTTTCGGAGTCTTTTGAACCCCAACCCGGAAGATGAGAGACACCTAGCCTACCTAATCGCTCTGTTTATTTCGTCATGCCTCATCTCCACGTAATCTGCTGGCCTCCACGAGGGTTTCTCCAGCCTGCAACAGTCACTGCGAATAAGGCGCGCTGTGGTAGGCGACCGTCGGACTAGCAACATAAGCTAGGCAATCGAATAAGACAGGAAGAGTAGTGAAATATGCGATGGCGAATTTGTCCGGCGTGAAAGACGGCGAAGCTCAAACCTCGAGGACAGTGACAGCGACTTAGGCCGCTCGAATATCGCAAACCTTGATTTATCTTAAATCGATCAAGGAACATTATTGGTGGCAGTGAGAAGAATTGAGGGAATGTGGTCGTACGCTTGATGATTTTCACTAGTACATATATCCCAAGTTGAGAAACATCACGGAGGCTATCACTTCAATCAGGAACAGAAATTTCTGGTGGCCGTTATTGGTCCATCCACGGTCAGATGCTGATCAGTGTGAATGCAGTACGCATATTAAGTGATTGATTAATTGTGTAGCTCAGGTATGGAGTGAGGATCAAGAAATATGCGTTGGCAACGGCGTAAGGCTTCACTGGTTTATGTGTGACACTGAGCCGGACAATAGTGAGACTGCTCACGACCAAAGTTGGGTGGTGGTGGAACCGCGGACTCCAGGACCCAAAGCCGATTACAGCGGCCTGAAAGGATGAAGCTAAATGCGGTTAATTAGGACCACGCTAGATCGTGAAGTATAGATGTGAAACCAATCGATGGAGTCAGTCGGAACAGTATACTGGCAGCGCGAGGTGGTCACAACTATGCACGGTTTAGTTTGAGCCTCCACAAGCATAATGGCTATTATGCAATGCAAATCTCAGTTGCAGCTCGGGAAGTGAATTTGAATCAAACAAGTTTCGAAGATTCATTGTGATGATTCTGTATCAGGTGTTGTGGGTTAGATGCGTCTAACCTCAGCCAACTGGATGCTAGGGCCGATTTTCAGTGTTTTTATAATGAGTTGTATATAAATGACTGGAGTGGGAAATTTTATTGAGTCATTCATATACTACTCATTATAATAGTTGTCCAGCTGACGATTCTGAACGAGTTGGCATTTCCAAATATATGTGTAGCATTGACGATACTTTTAGTTATTATCCCATAAGGTGGAGGAACAAAAATAGTACACACCGGTGATGAATCTCCGAAAAGACGAAACAGCTATTTAGTACCCTCACATATCGTAAGTTAAAATAAGTATATAACATGTTGAGATTACTGCACGAAAAAAACATCATTTAATCTTTGGGATAGACCCTCATAGTATATTATTTTATTCATAAAATGAGTACATCATACGAGAGGAGAGCAAACAAAACTACGTTAACTTTTGTATCAAGGCGGAGAGATGAACAGAGATGGAATAATGCCCATAAGCGTTAGCCATGATCGTGGCGTTGTTTGCATCAGTATGGTTGGCCTAGTTGATGGTAAGAAGAACCCTGGACTGCAAAAGTTCCAAGAAGAAATTGATCGAACAAAGATGGTTTCAAATGATTTTGAACAAGAATCGATTTCAATCCGAGAGTAATTGTTCAGTGGAAATACTGATCGAAGTTTGTGAACGTTTACATGGTCAGTTCTGACAGACACGACGCTTCAAAAAAGCCAAGACCACGATGAAATCCTTTCATACATTAGCAGCACTAGAAAAACGTTCCAAGGACTGTAAAAGTTAACACAAAGAAGCGACAAAATAAGTCTTGTAACTGGGATAGGCACCCATAATGCTACCGGTCAATTTACGTTCCCAAAGGGTGTATGATCACTAGCATCCAGGTCCTGCAGCGAAAGCAAGATGACGAGACCGGGCCTCCGATGGTGTTCAGCAACGTGGAATGTCTGTGCGCGTTCCTCCAACAGCGACATTTCCAATTACTCGATGATATCATCAAATAAACCTCGAGGGAGCTCACCAAACCACACCTTACCGCAACTTCCTTCCCGTGGCGACCAGCTAAAAATCTGAATTTCGATACTCAAGACTGGACACTCCGTTGAGACGCTTGATTTGAATCATTGTACATGCGGTCATCATCACAGAAAATATCCTTGAAGTAAGCTTGTCCTTAAGTCACTTCAAAGTGCAGAATGGTAGTGAAAAACGAAAGCAAGACGCATTATTATTACGTGTTGAACTGAACTATATCCTGGTGGTCTCATCAGCTGCGTACATACATCCAGACTATGTTTGGTTTCGTGAGAGGTTTGGCAACCAGTGGGCAGAGATAATATAAATCAATCAAAACGGAGAGCCAAGGGCACTAAAACCAGATCTCGATTGGTCACAGGGCCAGAGAGGGCAATCGTTGCAGGGGGAACAGTCACACTTAACATAATGGCTCGATCTACTGACAACGGTAGAGCTAATAACGTTGATCCTCGGCAAACGGCTACTCTTCTGGTACATTGTGTCATCTATCGCCGGGTTAGTGTTCCAGTACCCAGTACGTTAATAAACCGGTTTGGATAGGAGGCATTTGGTATTGTGGGATTTTGTGCGTCACTCTACCGCGGAATTAGTCCCAATGTGAATAGTTTCAGTCTCTATCGGTCCGAACAGTGCCGGTCGAAGTGCGGATGCGTGCCCAAACGTGCTGTAGTCGAGTGATCGAGGCAGTGATCTGCGATCACGGATGCTAGGAGTAACCGAACTATGGCCCAGGTCAGAATAGAGTCAAGTAAAATAACCAATTGGTTCATTTTTCACATGCAAATAGAAAACAAGCCCAAATTTTCCATGGCTGGTCAAAACTCACAGAATCGGATCCAGATTGCTTGTTTTCGGATTGGAAAACAGAAAACTCAGGTAGTTTACGAGGCAGCTCATTCCGGTTTCGCGTACACTGAAAAGAACAAACAAAACAGTACGAGTGACAACACACTAGCGGAAAGATTCACTAAACCAGGGTGCCCATCAAAGGGGTCCAAACAGGTGAACTAACGACAAGCAGGTGGGGGATGATTGAGTACAATGGAGATGAAGACAGATACATGGCATCCACATGAAATCTTTTAGAAAAAATATATCGCTCAAGTTTCACACATCAATGTTGTTGTCCCGAGCCGATCCAACTGGATAATG